CTCGGTACCTCCAGGAGCAGCTGGTCAGCTGACCTGAGAGACCGACAGGGTATGTGGGGATGAAGAAGCTCAGAGAGGTAAGGCGGGGCAAGACTGTGGAGGCATTTAAAAACAAACATAAAAACAAACAAACAAAGCAGTGCTCTACCTGCGCTGTGTATAGTGCTGGTGGAGCGCTGCTGTCTTTGACTGAGAACATTGTCGAGTGCTTAAAGGAATACTTCTAGGACCTCCTTAATCCCACCGGCACGTCTTCCATGGAGGAAGCAGAGTCTGGTGACAAGGGGGACGACTCACCTATCTCCGATGGCGAGGTCACTGAGGGAGTTAAAAAAACTGACCGGGCTGGCGGTCCCCAGTTTTAAGAAGGGGGACCGGAGGTTGTGTTCCAACTATACGGGGATCATACTCTTCAGCCTCTTCAGCCTTGTGGTGAAGAGAGAGCTGAATGTAAAAACGAAGCTCGATCTACGTCCCACCCTCACCTATGGTCACGAGCTGTGGGTAGTGACCGAAAGAATGAGATTGCGGATACAAGCAGCAGAAATGAGCTTCCCCTGAAGGGTGACTGACCTCTCCCTTAGATCGGGTGAGAAGTTCAGCCATCCGGGAGGTGCTCAGAGTAAAGCTGCTGCTCCTACACATCGAAAGGAGGTGGCTGCCCATCACTGAGCACAGTGATTATCTGATTGTTGGGGTTTTATCTCTGATCTTGTGCGAGTCTTTTATTGTACAACATAAAACATCTTGAAACAACTGAAGAGGGCTGATACACCGGTAGTCCCAGTGTTACGACTGTAAGCATTCCCACCTTCGTTGTCGCCCGTCCAGTCATCAGGCGCCGAGCTCTGCGTCTGAGCCGTTGCTGCAGGTGGACTGCGCTGAACCACAGTACTAGTACTTCTCGACGAGGTCATTCCGTTCCCGCCGGATTGCTCCTCTTCGTCTTCCTCGCCGTCTTGTTCTTGTTCCTCCTCCTCTGACATCGCTCCATCACCCCTCCCACTCCCTAATGCTCTGTCGCTCGAGCACTGGTTGGAGGTAGCGCTGCGGTGAGTGTCCATGATGTATCTGTGACCATCGACGCAGCCCCAAACAGCCTTAATGGCGCCCAGGCACTGGCCCTCCAGCACCTCCTTCAGGTCGGGGCAGGAGCGGCAGGCCTCTCCGTGGTGATGAGCCCAGGACACCAGACTGTGGAGGCACTTTGTGTCTGAGGTAAAGGATGAGGGGGCTGAAGAAAACAGAAGAGCCTGTTAGAACAGTTCAACTTATGGAACTTCAGCAAGATGGAGTGAGGAAGTAATGTTTTACTTACTTGATGAGCAATGGTTTACAGAGGACTCTGGACCCTTTGCATTCTTCCTGAAACAGACACAAACACTTCTCCATGTTTTTCTGCAGTAAAAACACTTTACAGTCACCCTCAGGTAGATATATTTGTTTTTTTATTGACTCACTGATTTTTCAGGTTCTCCTTCCCCACAGGCGGGAGATTGACTCTCTGCAGAAACCGGATCAGGATGCTTTGGCACTTGTAAAACTTTGCATGGCATTTCTTGCAAATAAATTCCGACAGCCGAGGGTCACGGTCCACCTGGACCCCGACCAGCCTTTGGAAGTCTGTGTGGAACAGAAGCGGTGACTGGGCCACGGCGTCTGACTCCTCGTCTACGATACTGAGGGAATCCTGAGGCCATTTGTTGAAGGCGTGCCGCAAGCTGCGCGGAGAAAACTTCCCGTGACAAAGCCGGCAGACGGCAGCAGAGAGTCTACCTGAGGGGGCATCACAACTTGATTTCATCTTACAGTGCTCCAATAATACAATTTACTAGTGTCTGCATTAACAGAGAAATATACAGAATACTCTATTTTACTTGGTTTGTGCCAAACACACAGGATCGACCTCTGGTTAGAGGCCCGCAACATTGTTTTTTCTGCACTCGATGTCAGCACTGGCTTTGCTAAGTTAAATAGTTTGAGAATCACATGACAAATATCCAACAACAGCTTACACTAACATCAACTTTGTGTGTTTAAAACGTGCGTAGTGAGCCACTAACCTGAAGATCTGGACTTAGTCTCTGGATGTTTCTGGGCGTCTTCAACTGTCGTCACATTGAAGTCTGCACCGGTGGTCTTTTCTGTTGCACAGTCATTCAGGTAGAAACTGTCTGCGTTTACGGCGGCAGTCTTCCGAGGTCGCCCTCTGTTTCCAGGTGACCTCCTCTCACTGGTGACGTCCACTGGCATCGGCGTCCTGCTGAGCTTTTGCGGCGTCTCAGAAGACCTTGTATGTCTACTTTTCTTCTTCATCATTTATTGTTATTTTTGTCAGCAGCTGATTTCGTGAAGGCTGCCTGTGTCAGTGTAATAAACAATAAAATATTTAAAATATTTAGCATTTCTGAGTTTTAGTTCCATTTAAACACAACCACAGATACATATCAGGGGTTTTTTGTGCATATTTTGTGCTCACCAAAGAATTTTGGCTTTTTCTAAAAAAGCAAAATCATCAGGATTGTGATAGAAATATTTAACCCATTTCCTATTTTTAATGAGATTTTATTTACTAAAGATTAAATTACATTTTGTTATGGCCAACAACAGAAAAATTAATACGTTCTGTCAAGTAAGGTACCGCAGACTATTTACTTTAACTACAAATTGATCAATCCTGTTTATTATGTTGCTCCAAAGTTTCATTTAGAACCAGAACCAGTTGTAAAATGTAAACACTTATGAAATGTTGCCATCATTCAAACAAGGAGGAAGGAGGAAGGAGGCAGGAAGCGTGGATCAACGTGTACATACACTCACCAAGCACTTTATTATTTTATTATTATTAAGTACACCATGTTAGTAGCTGGTTGGACCTCTTTGTCCTTCAGTTGCCATAATTCTTCTTGCTATAGATTCAACAAGGTGCTGGAAACTTTACTCAGAGATTTTGGTTCATACTGACATGCAACCATCACACAGTTGCTGCAGACTGTTGGCTACATACCCATCATGTGAATCTACTGTTCCACCACATCCCAAAAGTACTCTGTGACTGTGGATGTAATTTCAGTCCAGTTCAAGAAACTAGTTTGAGATCGTTTGAGCTTTGTGACATGGTGCATTATCCTATTAGAAGCAGGCATCAGAAGATGCATTCACTATGGTCATAAAGAAATGGACATGGTCAGCAGAAATACTCAGGTAGGCTGTGGTATTTCAGTGATATTCAGCTGCTATTAAGGGGCACAAAGAGTGCCAAGAAAATATCTCCTACACCTTTACGCCATCACCAGCAGCCTGAACTTTTGATACAAAGTAGGACAGAGCCATGATTTTCATGTTTTTTTTATGTCAAATTCAGACCAGGAAATGTTTTTTCACTCCTCTGTTGTCCAGTTCTAGTGAGCCTGTGCAAATTGTAGCCTCTTCTGCTGCTATAGCCCATCTGCTTCAACGTTCAGAGATGCTTTTCTGCATACTTTGGCTGTAGCGAGTGGGTGTTTGAGTTACTATCAGCCTGAAGCAGTCTGGCCAATCTCTTCTGACATCTGACATAAGGTGTTTTCACCTGGAGAACTGCTGTTCACTTAATATTTTCACTTTTTTTGAACCATTCTCTGTAAACTTTAGCAAAGGTTCTGTGGAAAAATCCAACAATTTCTGAAATACTCAGACCAGCCGATCTGCCGCCAACAGCCATGTCACTGATGCTCAGTTTGAACGTCCTCTTGGCCATGTCTACATGCCTACATGTACTATGTTGCTGCCACGTGATTGGCTGATTAGATATCTGTCAACGACCAGCTATACCTAATGAAGTGGTGAGTCCATGGGGCAGAACGAGGTTTTTTCCCCTCATAAAAAAACAGCTTTATAATAAAAACAACATTTTTTTAACCTCATTTAATATTCTCCGAAACCTTCGTTTTACTTTAAAGAACATAATCAGTCCACCTGTACATTTAATCTTTTTTTCTAAGAAATCTTTAACATTGATGACACAGGAACTCCCTCCATGGATAAAGTTAACAGGACACTAATGCCAATCAAGCCGTAGCACCTTTGATTTAAGCCTCCGATACAACAAAAACCGTGACAATGGTCCCGGATATTGTTTTTACACTCCAACATGATTTTGTTTACAGATTAATTCAACTAGCGTTAGCTGGTTAGCATGAGTGAGCCTGCTACATTTGTTAGCTGACGTGTTAAAACACAACACACGTGACATAATAATTACAGCACTCGTCGTGGAGGGCCTACCGTGACTGTGCACAGATCCTAGCACTTGGAAAACATGCTGTTCTTAACGTGCAAGAAGGTTTTCATTAGCCGGGAAAACAAACTGTGTGCTTTGTAGCTGCTCCCAGATGTAAACATTAGAACCCGGAAGCGCTACCGGAACAAAACACAGAGTGGTGATACCCGAGAGCGCCACCTGCCGTCCACAGAGAAGAGTCCGGAGGTAGAAGTCTACATCTTTTTTTTTAAGAAAAAATATATTTTGTCTGTTTCTTTTTTCGCCTCAAAAGTTAAAACAATTTTCCAGAAATTGTGGCTCAGTTTCTCAAAACAAAAATTGCTTTTTCAAAACTCCACACACAAAACTTCACACACAGACTCACTGCCAAAATGAAAAACAGCACTCAAAACATGTTCTCACATCAGTACACACGGCTGTTATACCGTTTACAAGACTTCCACGTCAGAGTAAAACTGTAACTGACCCCTGAACCTAATAACTGCTTGTGTCACCCTTGGAAACAAGAACTGCAGTCAAGTGTTTGCAATAACTAGCAACGAGTCTTTCACATCACTGTGGAGGACTTTTGGTCAACTCCTCTTTGCATAATTATTTTAATTCAGCCACATTAGGGGGTTTTCAAGCATGAACAGCACTCACTTCCAACTGGTGCCTGTTTAAAGTCTCTCTAAGTAAGACGATCACATAAAAAATTGTGAAATAGAGTGGTCTTCATCCTCAAATATGCACTAGGAAAGACTCTGCATGAAACATAATAAAGACAGTGCCAGAGCCCAATAGGACGGCAGTGACTCTGTGATAGACATTAAGTCCGCTTTAAAGCTGCCCAGGCTGTCTGCAATCACATATTTTAAAATGGCAAGGAAGCCTCATCCTGATAGTCTATTGTATATAATTGTATTGTTTCTAGAGGTGGTAAGTAACAAAGCACAAATATTTTGGTACTGTACTTAAGTACAATTTTCAGATATGTGTTCTTTACTTGAGTAGTTTTTTTTCTACTTTTTACTTGTACTCCCTGCATTTTTAAACAAATATCTGTACTTTCTACTCTTTACATTTTCAAAACAGGCATGTAAACGTTTGATTTAACGCATTTGGGGGGAGATGCTATTTCCTCATTGCGAGCATCCAAACTTTAAACCGATTTGAGCCTGAACAGAAACACATAAAAGGCGGTCCTGTTCATTTATTAATCACCAGAGGATGTGGCATAAAAAGAGATGACGTGTGTACCAAACTCAGGGGTTAAAAGTGTGAAGGTGCTTTTTGTTGTTGTTGTTGTTGTTGTTGCCACAACACTTAGTTCTACTGAATAAATAAATAAATATTACATAAATAAATAAAGAGAGTGATTTTTTAAGCATTAAAATAAGATAAGATAAGATAACCTTTATTAGTCCCACACGTGGGAAATTTGTTTTGTCACAGCA